TATATTTTTTTTTTTTGATGAGTATTATTTTAAAATAATTTGATTGGCTATAGTGAGATAATTAAACACATTAATTTAAAAATATAAAAAATATATATTAAATTCAATCTAAATTAATATTTTAATATAATTAATGAGATTTATATATTGTTTCTATCCTTTATATCCTATCACGATTAGATCTCTCAAAATGACTCGCATGCACTCGTATTCAGCTCGCTAAGTAAAATCAACTGATATAAACATATTTTTTTCACTCCATATATAAATGAGTAAAATCTGAACAATCAATAATATTTTTTAACAAGTCGAGTGATATGTTTGAAATGACTCAACAAGCATGTGTGGTATGAAGGTGAAAGAAAAACTAAAATTAAAGCTCTAGTTCATTAGAATTTGGTGTCATGCTACACAAAATTTTCCAAATGATTCGGAGATGTTTAAACATCCAGATCCGAACCTACTTCAGGGCCGGCGCCAAAGTGCAGAGCGGAATTGAGCAAGAGGAGCAGTGAATAAGAATTCACAGCTTTCTCTGATCAGAACTTTAGATCCTCGGCAATTCTCGGGAAGGAAGCTACATCCGGTAGCTTACTCGTCGCTCTTCCACAGAAAGAAACGCTAAACCCTAAAGCTGTAGATCGATCCGGCCATGGAGGAGAGGGAGTCGAAGAACGAGGAGGCGCCGGCGACGGAGAACGACGAGGGAAACTTGGCGGAGGAAGCCAGCGGCGGGACGAAGGAGGAGAGTTTGATCGTGTCTGGTAAGTCCGAGCAGATTATCGACGAGGCTGGAAGCCGAACTTTTACAATGAGGGAACTGTTGAATGAGTTGAAAAATGAGGAGGCGGGAGCCGGGAAAGAGGCGATTGCCGAAAACTCCAGCTGCGGGGAGGAAGTTCAGCGGGCTAGCACTGCAGCCTCTGATGGGAGCCGTAGGGATGGTGGGTCTTCTTTCAGGTCGGTCTTTTTTCTTCTTGTTGGTTGGAATCTCTTGCCTGTTGATATGTTCATTGGTCGGATCTAGAAGGACTTGGGCACTATTGTTCGGTTTTAGATTTATCGCCGTGGTTGTTTTTAGGAGCATATTTGGAATTAGGTTACTTTCTGGTACGTAGAGAGTAGATTGATATCTTCATTCGGTGAATTCACGTAACATAACATGCTGCTTTTGATTCGTTTTTGTTGAAATTGTAACTTATTTTCTCCCATTGATAAGTTTTAGCCACTAGTTTCATGTTTGAATGTTGTAAGTGCGAAGCTTACTGACGGAAAGTCTCTATTATAGTCAATCCTCTGATGGATGAATTTTTGCTTTGTTCCTGTGTTTTGGTTGTTATATTTGTCAGCGTGGAATGTGTTTCGTGAAGGTGAAAGTTTATCATCTCTACCGATTATAATGCATTTTGTTAGGAAGCTAATACATTTATGGACTTTAGTCAGGAAAGCTTTCCACAGCACTCGATTATGGAGAATGATATTTCCATGGATTTAATCAACAAGGTTTCTGGAACTGATGACGAAGGCAGATCTCGACAGAAAATCCTGGTTTTCTCAGCTAAAAGGTACTTTCCTCTAAGATTACAGCATAATTATTTTTCTTGAGGCTGCTAGAAAGGCTAATGTATTTCTTAGCATTTTTATAGCTTTTATGTTTTTATACAAAAATATATTTATTTCCCATAGATGGCTCGGTGGAATCAAAAGTTGTCCGAACGATGGTCAAAAGCTATTGTCTCGCGCTAGGGGATTGTATTGGAGTATTTATCTTTATCAGATGTCGGATTGTTTAGTTGCCTCAATAATATTAATAGAAGCACCCGAAAGGAGATATTATTGAACTTAAAAATACAATTGTTCTCTTGTTCATAACGGATGACATTAATGCTATTAAACTCTTGATCAACTTAAGATAATAAGTGCAGCATCCATGGTGATAAGAATTACATTCGGCTTAGTAATAGGCAGGGATGTCTTGTTCACTCAGGCCACATGGAATGGAGTTGGATGTGGCTTTGATGTCTAACAACTTTTAACAACGTTGCTTTTTTGATAGCCTTTATGGAAGTTTCACCATCAAGGATTATAATTTTATTTATGATTAAGAACCTCTCTTATAATCAAGAGAATCTCAACAAATTATTTCATATGGTTGAGCAATAAATTGATATTCATCATTATTTCTCATCTTAACCATTTAGAGGTGAGACGGCTCCTTTTAATTCAATATCTTGAATTGTAATATTCAAGTATAGTTATGTCGTTTTTGACAACTTTATTTGGCAAAAATTGACAAATTTTGGGCGATGCATTTCTTGCCAATCAAAGAAGCCATCTAATTTAGATTCCTAATCTTTGTAAGCATCGAGTTGTGGAGACATCTTAATTTGAGAAAATGTACGTTGATCCTCTGGGTCTTATTATCATGCAAAAATTGGTGGGGTGCCCCTAGAGGAGCTGGTTAACATAATAGCTTAGATCAACATGATGTTGTAAGTTAGGATGTCTCCATTGTGCAAGATGCACGATGTGTCTAGGTTGGCCCAAACCCTTAAAATAAATCATAAAAAATTCTATATATTTTGTGGTATACGAGCTTGTATATTAGTAGATATCTCAAAGAAACCTTTTTGGTGGCATCGATAATTTATTTTTTGTCATTTGTTTTACGGGGTGTTTGGTGGTGTAATTTTCACTGGATTTAGGTTGGATTTAATGTAAATCCAACCAAACGCGAAAAATGGAAAATTTAATCCCGCGCTCCGTTAAATTCAATTTTCCCTCGCTTCCGTTTATTTTTGGTTGTAAATCTAGATTTGTTAGATTCAACTATTTGATGGATTTAACTTAGGAAGAAAGCCATGACTATAAGAACATGAAATAAAATGCCAAATACGTCTAATAATTTAATTGGATTTAACCTCAACTGAACCAAACACTATCATGAATTTTTAACAATATATGAATTTGATAAATCCGGATTTACCTGATTTAATAAATCCTATTAAACGTAAATCCTGAGTGCAACCAAACACCCTCTTAAGGTGGCCATGTTAGTCTCTTGCATGTCGGCGCTTCGATTAAATTCAATTTCTAATTTATCATTAACAATCAGGCCATTGATAATCTACTCTTGAAACTGATTATTTTAGATAGGATATTCCTCACAATTAACTTTGGCTTATTCTGGAGTGATTATCATGACATGCAAAAAGCTTTAACTTGAAACAATAATTGGCATATGTCTTGCAAAAATATTCCTTGTTCTCCAGCTTTAAAAATCAAATTTTGTATTTCAATTAATTTAAGACCCTATAGTGCTAGGTAGGATCATATTAGGTGGAGCACTCAGCTCACTTGAATGTACATTAGCACAATTTGTAGAATTGGTTTGAGTTATTTTTAGTAGAACTTAATTAATCAAAATTTCATGCAAAGTTATAAGATTTATCTCCATTATGCAGTTTATCCCAACATGAACAAATATTAAACTAATAGTAGGTTCAAACATAAAAAAATTATGATCTTAATGAAGATTGAAAATCTTTCTCCAGTTGTTGGTGGTTGTGGTTGTCATCAATGAATGGTAAGTGATGGGTCGGTGCAAATTTGCAATGTATATGTGTGTTGTTTGCTATGGAGAATGCCCCATATAATACTATTATATGAGTAAATTAATAAAATTTGGATATTATTCCTTTCCCGTGCTTTGTAATCCAAGTTTGAAAACTTTCCACAGAGTTGCATGCAACTTCTTGGTTCCAACGTTCTGATTATATGACTCCTTTGTTGATTTCTCATATTCTCATTCTTTTTCTGACTCTACTTATTTTAGGTATGCTGATGCTATAGAAAAAAATCCTAATGATCATGATGCTTATTACAACTGGGCTCTTGTTCTTCAGGTACTTTCTGAATCACCAATACTTTTCAATAATGAATGACAGTTTACGTACGATTCAAGCACAACTCGTATTTCATATTCGTATTTCAGTTTTTTCTAATGTCATATTTCATACAAGAAAATGAATGAGATTGAAGTTTGCATATCATAATAGACCTTTTGCGCCTACCCATACTATTTTTAAATTACTTGGTTGTTTTTCCTCCTATTTTTACTAGGAGCTGCTGGTGCAAGGAGGAGCTCGTTTACTAAAATTAAAATTTTTGTTGAGAGAACTGTATTGTTTTTTTTTCCAATTATTCCGATGGCTATTACTAACAGATTTTATTCTCCTAAATGATTGATTTGTTTGCAGGAAAGTGCTGATATTGTTGCTCCAGACTCCACGAATCCCACAAAAGATTCATTACTTGAGGAGGCCTGTAAAAAATATGAGCAGGCTACACAACTATGTCCTACCCTTCATGATGTATGTTTCATTTCCAGCCCACACTTGCTCCCTTGTCACTTGCTTCCTTAATCTATGGGGTATAAATAAAAAGGGGGAAGTTACATGCATGGCACACAATTCTTATGCATTTACATATCTCACATCTAAACTGTCATATTTACACACATACCACAGAAATATTCAATATCACATAAAAAATATTATTATTAGTTTATTACCACTTAAGTCAAATACACCTTTTTATGCATAGGTTCTCTAAAGCACCAACACCCAAATCAGACGTCGTACTCATTTTTAGACACACATCGTACATGGAAATGGCTCTGACATGGGTCTATACATGTCCGACACGATATAAATTGTGTCGGAGCTTTCCTTGAGTTCGACGTGACTTGGGAAACGGCTCGACACCGCTTGACACAACATGGAACGGGACACATGCCTCTTTCATCTTAGTCCAACATAAAGTAGAAGTTGAAGCTGCAACTCAAAATCGAAGCCACAACCTTCTCGAGCATCTTGTTTTGGTGGTGAGCATTTTCGGCATCTCAAACAGACGAAGATTTTCTTCTTCAATTGCGAGCTATCCAGAGCAGACGACGCTTGGACGCTGATAATGTAAACAACACACGGACGTAGACGACACAGACCAAGCACAGATGCAAACGACGCAGGCGACACGATCTTGAGCACCGTCGTCAACGTGATATTGAACAAACGACACAATTAGAGAAGTGATTTAGAATTGAAGTCGAAGCAGATGATTCAATTAGCGACATAGGAGTTTTTCTATCTTTTAACTAATCCATTCGTCCAAACTTGCTCATTAATCAGTAAATATATTGTGTTTAATAAATAAATTAAATGTGTATTATTTTAAAATTGTCCAAACCAGCTTATTTTACTCTTTTATTGCTTAAAAAAAGTTGAATGCTTTTCTTTAGGCATTTTAAGCAGAGATACTGCTAAGAAATCTTATTTAGTTTAATATTTTTCATAATATAATTATTTCTCATTTTTAGTTATAAAGAAAGAAAAGGATATTCTCGTTTAGTTAACATTTATGTTAATAATTCATTAAATATAAAAAAAATTGTCTGTTGTGTCGTGTCATACATTTTTCAATTATATCATGTCGCTATATCATATGTCGTGTTCGCTCCCTGTGTCTATATCGGTGCTTCATATTTATGTTTAAAGCACCCAAGAGCTATATATACATGCATACAAAATAACACTAAGATCTTCTCGAAAAAATATTTTAATTGAAAAAAAAATGTTCTAACTCTGCTTATCCACCCTGCCAAATATAGGTAACGGAGGATGTAAATGTTCAGATAATAAAAAATAATATTATAAAATATTCTTAAATATGAGAGTGGAGATCTAGAAGATTTCCTACATTTAAATTACAAAGTGTAAGGGAACTTTGTATTGGTTCAGTAGTTTCTGTAGGTTGTTCTTTTCTAAGAATTAAAATTTAAAACTGCCAATGTACTTAGAGATGTTAGAGGGCTTAAAAAATATGTGATAGAGATGATAGGAGGTTTCAAAATATGTGATTCTTATATAGAATTATATGATCATTTCCTTAAAGTTTGACTATGCCGCCTATAACAATATGGTGATACGAGAAAGAATTCTCATGTACTTTATGAGTGAGCCAATTATGTGTCATGGCGCAGTTTATATCTTACATCTTATCATCCTCTAAAACTTTTCTTAGCATCTTTAGATGACTGCAGTGTATTTCTTTAGCTCTAAGCTTCTACTTTGATGGTTTTAACCATACGTTTTGGTGAAATACATGGTTAGCATGGTTAGCAAGTATAGTTTTGGATGGTTTTAACCATACGTTTTGGTGAAATACATGGTTAGCAAGTATAGTTTTGTTTTTTTTTTTTTCATTTTCTGGAAGCTACCTTATTTTTTAATTAATTTAATGCTATGGGTAATTCCATAAAATTTTCATATGGTCTGACCTATCTTTTAGGCATTTTACAATTGGGCTATTGCTATATCTGACCGAGCGAAAATAAGAGGTCGAACTTTAGAGGCTGAAGAGCTGTGGAAGCAGGTAAATGCTGTTTGTAAGAAACTATTGTATTTGGTTGCTTGGTATTGTCTTCTCATGTTATTTATACAAGTGTATATTTTTAGTCAGTAAAATAGTTCTGTGGTTTAATCTGATTAATGTTCTTATTTTTCCATAATATCTTACCAATCCTTGATGCGTTTCATGTTTTTTTTTTAAATCTGTCATGTTCATCTGCCTTTTGATAATATTAATTGCTTTACGAGTCAAATTTAGTATTGTCGCCAATGCTGTTGCTCATTAAATTCTCACTTCCTTAGATTTTATTACTTCTTTATTCACCATGCATAGATTTCCGTCATAATCATGCACATTTCATATCATGCCATGAATGTCATATCAAACAGCTTATTTTTTGTATTTATAAAATCACAAATTTTTATATGATCTTTATCTATCTTCTCGGTATTTTATAACCTTGAAATAATGATACATGTTGTAGAGCAATCTTCATTGTTTGTGGCATACAGGACTAGTAGTTCTAAGTCTCTTCTGAAAACTATTCTTTGGGTCCCCACTCAATTATCAAGAGTTCACAATATAGAACATATAAAGTTGTAAGAATTGTGTACAAGTATGTTATGAAACATTACTTGATCTAAACAACCATAATCAGATAATTAGCTTTCCTTAATACTTTACCATGCTCACACAATATACTCTCTCTAGACTTTCTTAACTGTTGCCATAATATCAAACATTTAGCAAGATTTGGGCAGCACTTATTTTTTTTTTTGTGAATCCGAATGAACTTTTTGTTTTGTCTTCTGCATTCTATACTATTGTCTTTTCACTTATCATGGTTATCAATTTATATAGAAACAGTACCATTTTGGTGTCCCATTTTGCATGCATTGCAAAAATGAATGATATTTGTCATTAATCTCTCCTTCTGTGATGCCACCATTATGAAATGTGTTTCTTGGTCAAGTAATGTCCTTTGGTACCTCCTTGTGCAAGACTCTTTGAAATGTGAGGATACACAAATACAATCAGTGAAATTGGTAGGTTACAAATTACAGATTTCACAATGTAATTCAGAAAGTTTACAAAGGATTCACAAGTTTCTTCTTCACACTCACACGAAAAAACTTACAGGACGCTCCACAATCTTCTCCGATTCGACACGAACAATACAAGCTGAGATCCCAAAAACCCTCCTCTTCGACTCTTCTCTCCTACGCCAAAAAGTTTTTGAAGCATCAAAGAAAAACTCAAAAGCATCCAATGTTCCACGCTAAAAATTGGCTTAAGATTGAAAATCCTGAGTTAACTGCTCCTAGGCGACCAGGCGCCTAGGCGCCAAGCTCTCTATGTTTGTGGCCAGAAATGGGTGCCTAAGCGCCAATAGACCGGCGCCTAAATTCCGGTTTCTCGGGAAAAAAAGACTAGACCCTGCTCTATATCGAGCGCATAAGTGCCCAAAGCCGACACATAAGTGTCGACTCCTCTGTCGAGCGCCCAAGCGTCGGCCTCAAGCCCATCGCTGACGCGAATGAGCCAACCTTCCTGCTGCTTGGTACTAGAATTTCTTCAGCTCCACATTATAGCCCAACAAGTTGCAAAACTAAATTCTATATGAGTTATTTTGTCATTTGCAATTAATCTTAACTGGTCTACACCACTTGGATATAAAAGTTTGCATTTCTCAACCGGGACTTAGAGGAAGAAGTGCACATGAATGCACCTCTAGGATTTAGTGAGAAGTTTAACATAAAGGTGTGCAACTTAAAAAATTTCTAGTGCAGGTTGAAACAACCATTGAGAGCGCGATTTGAAAAAATTGCGCTATTTCTTATAGATCATGAGTATGCTCAAGGGCAAGGAGATCGTACAAAGCTTTTCAAATATTCAAGGGATGGGAAGATAACCATATTGCTTGTTTATGTGGATGATATTATTTTCACCAGAGATGACTTATATGAAATGAACCGGTTAAGGACGTCCCTATCATCAGTTTTTTAGACCAATGACATAGGATTTCTGAGGTATTTCCTTGGCATGGAGGTTGCTAAATTGAAAAAAGAGATTATAAGTTTCCAACGAAAATATGTTTTTGATCTTCTAAAGGAAACTGAGATGAGTTGTAGGCTTGCAAATAGTTCAATTGATCCCAATTAGAAACTAGTAGATGGGAAGGAAGGTGGCTGGGTGAATATAGCTAGATATCAAAAGTTAGGGTTGGGAGAGGGG